CATCATCTTCAGTCCCAATTCAGAAAGGAGATAATTTTAGTCTCATGCAATGTCCTAAAAGTGAATTGGAACAAAAAGAAATGGAAGGAACTAAAGGTCACATGCTTACTTATAGAAGGTCTAAAAACCTTGAAGTGAATGGATACACAGATTCAGATTTTGCAGGATGCGTAGACACAAGAAAGTCTACATGTGGTTACCTGTATCTTTTAGTTGAATGAGCTATATCATGGAAAAGTGCGAAGCAGACTGTAATAGCTGCGTCCACTATGAAAGCTGAATTTGTGGCATGCTTTGAAGCCACGATTCAGGCTAAATGGCTACGGAACTTTATTTCAGGGCTTGGATTGGTCGACAATATTGAAAAGCCGCTGAAAATTTATTGTGATAATTCCGCAGCAGTCTTCTTTTCTAAAAACGACAAGTATTCCAAAGGTGCTAAACATATGGAATTAAAGTACTTTGCCGTTAAAGAAGATGTTCAGAAACATAGAGTGTCAATAGAGCATATTAGCACCGATCTTATGTTAGCTGATCCCTTGACAAAGGGACTATCGCCCAAGACATTTACTATATAAAATGGGCATTATGTCAGCTAGTGAATGATGAAAAATTATAGTTATGCATTAAGTGTTACACTCTGAGCTCATTGATGAATATATGTTTCTGATATTGTCTTATTTTCAATTTATGAATGCATGCAAGTATATGTGATGATATTGAAAATAATTATGGTCCGTTATGAAGACATTATTGTTGGACATAATGTACACTTCCTATTAAAGTATCATGTTAGGAAGAAGAGTCAATATAGTAGTACATGGAAGGGACTATGCCGACTTGATAGCATACAACCGCTATGACTCATGTTGATTTTATTTCTAATAATGAATTATGATGACGTCAATGTATGGAACCTTTAGCTTAGTAAATGCGCATTAAAGTTAATGTTAATTAAATCATGAAGGGACACCTTATGACATGAGCCAAGTGGGAGAATGTAAAACTATTTGTGTCTCATGTGTGATGTGTGTCAATTGGTTTGATTAATAATAAAAGAGGCTTTAAGGTAATTGACATTTCGTATTAATGGGAATTGACGTTTTGACGTTTTGCATTATGGCAACGTTTCGCATTAATGGTAATTGACGTTTTGACGTTTTACATTATGGCAACGTTTCGCATTTATAGTAATTGACGTTTTGACGTTTCGCATTAATGGGAAGTTACACGGAGTTAATTGAAATTCTGTAACTGGTGACATGGTTCAGTTATATAAAGTGAAAAGTGGTGAGTCTCTGACAATGATAATCTCTCATAATTCTCTCCTTCATAGTTTGCCCATAAAAGTTATATCAGATCCCTGTCATAGACGATACAAGAAAAGCAGAAGGTAAAGACTCTGAGAAACAACGTTCCATCATCAAAGTTCTTCCGCACTAATGGAGAAAGTTCTTCCGCACTAATGGAGAAAGGTACACTCTTATGTGAAAATCATGAATTCTAAAGATCCTTTGTCATGTTCTTAGAATGTTGATTGATGAACATGAATCATGAATCATTGTTGAAATGCTTACAGTAACTTCTCATGCCGGGTAAAGTTGGTTGCTAGTGACATTGTCGAAGACACATTAATTCATTAATGATCTACCCAACTTGTATAAGATTTGGATTATGAAACACATGATCATAACATGTAGTTGGCCCACTGCCCCCATTTGCCATCAAGGAGCTCTCGCGCAAGGTCTTCAAAAGTCAACAAGACCATGCATTTACGCTTAATGTAAAGAACCTTAGGATACACTACACCACTCCAAAAGCTAACTCAAAGAGTGAAAGTGACCAAGGCCTTATAAACTCCACATTAGTTGTCCATATAACTAATATGAGACTATATATCTCGACACATAATCCCAACCTAATGTTTCATATCTACGGAAAGATCAAAAGCAACAAAAAATAAATAAAATAAAATTAAGAATTACGTATTGAACAATGGAACATCAGATTCAGGAAAGTCCGTGAAGGGATCGCCCTATTGATTTAATATATACGTAGATGAGTTCACTTCACATGTAGAATTTTAAAGAGGACATAAAAAAACAAGTTTGACATCATACACCGGCCAAATCTTAAGTCCTAAACTTAACCAAAATTTGAACCCAGGACGGAACTTTAACTCTAACAACCTGCAAAATAAATAAATAAATAAATAAATAGCTGCCTTTATGAGAGCACCAAAATAAAAGTTGCACTCCGATGCTAGTCTGGCAGTATTCCAGCAGAAATCAGAATGAAATTAAAACTGAAACAAAGGCAAACTTTGACAGCTTCAAGACGCTATAAGAACCGCGTCGTCAATTGAAGACAAAACGGAAACAGTGATGGCTTACACACACGAGACCCACATACAAAATTTATTAATTATTTGCAATAAGCTCATGTTAGAATAAATGAACCAAATCAGAAACTAAAATTAAAAATAATAAAATAAAATGAAAACCTCATTCATTATTGTAATAAGCTCATGTTAAAGAAAATAAATGAACTTCCAAAAACTACATTGATTACAAGCCTTGCCAAGGTATATCTTAGATCATAGATGTAAGCGTCAGTCCCCCTAAACATTTTTCTCACCTAGAGTGCAAACAACTTTACTCAACATCATTTGAAGCTTAAACTTGGTTCATTTATTTGAAGAAGTTAAATTTAAAAGTTTTAATTTGACTTATTTAAAGTTTAAACATATAAAGTTCGGGAAAAACTATTCTCATACTACATGAGATAAGTATTCCCTCCTAAAACTGTGCCATCTTTTTTCTTTTCTTTTCTTTTTATTTTTTAAGATGGTGGAGCTCACAAGTTTATCTCTATGACATAAGATAACTTATTTCCTTTAACCTGATATTAATAAAACCCATAAAATTTAGCTTTGGCTCACATAATTCATCAGTAAGGTTGATTATTATTTTTATTTTTATTTTTTCCTTTTCTAAATAATAGAAATATTTGAATTTTCTATTATTTAGTCATCTTTTGCCAAAAACACAGCTCACAAAACTTGTTCCAAATCACCTCCTCACCTTAACCTACCACTTGGATCTTCTTGGGTAGCCTTGAATTTCAAAAAAATATCCCCTCCAAGGCTGCAAGTTACTGTTCATGCTGAAGAAAAAATTATGTTTTGTTGGCACTTTTGATGCATGCACATTTTAGTATTCAGGCATTATTATGAGATGAGGTATATTCTGATATGTGATTATTGCATGCTCTTAGTTTTAGAGGCACAGAGTCTTGTATGCATGTGTTTTCATGCTGAAGAAAAAATTATGTTTTGTTGGCACTTTTGATGCATGCACATTTTAGTATTCAGGCATTATTATGAGATGAGGTATATTATGATATGTGATTATTGCATGCTCTTAGTTTTAGAGGCACAGAGTCTTGTATGCATGCGTCCATGGATGAGTTTTATAGTAATATGTGATATATTCTGATATATTATGATGCATGTGCTTATCAGGACATTATGAGAGTGGGATTATATCCCTGTTTATCTGAGAAACAAACGAAACTCTGTCCGATTTGAGACTCCGTCTGGAATGACACTTGTGGTCATATCCTGATGGTAGGTGATCTTTGACTATGGTCATTGATTACGGATGTATTAGAGAATGAAAGTATGTCATGAACAAGTAAGAAAAGAAGTATGTGTTGCAATATATCATGTGAATTAAAAGGAAAGAAAAGAAAGGAAAAAAGTTAGCTCATACTTCCGCTAATCGAGTTAAAAGATTAAGTAAGACTTCCACTTATGCATATTTAAATATCATATGTATGTTAATTGAACCGGCTCGAGACAGAGATGTTACAAACGACGTCGTTTTGGGGTTGAAAAATTAAAAAAATAGAATGATAAAAACTATTATAACCCTAAAATAAATTAACCTTACACATACAGCATGATTTCCGCCTCAAAACAACGTCGTTTTGGTGAACATTAGACAAAATTGTCTAAAGTAACTTTAGAAAAAATGAACCCATATATATTTATATACAAACACTCACATGAGTTTTTGACAAACTGTTACTCTCAAACATATAAAAATTTCACTTATTTATATAATCGAGCCTAATATCAAGCTTAAAATTGTTTGTTTAGTAAAACAAACAAGTTTTATGAAGCATTAAACAAATCCATTTACACCCTATTTCACCCAATGTCAGCAGCATCGTTTTACCTTGTAAAATATCAAGTGGCAACAATGTCTTTCAGACCCTTAATCATTAAGTGCCATTAGTTTCTGCAATACAATACTCACCCAGTTTTAAACCTCTTGTTAAATGTGATGGACCTTTATTTGAGCAATGGATGGTGCATTTCCAATTTTCCATCATACCTGTTATTTATCATAAAAGCCAACAGAGCAGCAGATTGGCTTTGCCAATTCTCCCATTCTGAACCTCGAAAGGATCAGCGTCTCTACTCTTCTTTTATGGGCTTTCTCCGATTCTGTGATATGACTCTTTAGGTGTGCCTTTTCTAAGATTAGTTTGTGTCAATTTTATGGGTCTTTGAGCACTTTGTTTACACACACATTGCTTAAATTTCATCTCTGAAGTTTTATCACAAACACACCTTTAGTTAAAAATCAACCATGGCACTACTTGTCCAAAATTACAGACACATTGCTTAAATTTTCATCTCTAAAGTTTTATCACAAGCACACCTTTAGTTAAAAATCAACCACGGCACTACTTGTCCAAAAAGCCCTAGACAAATATTTCACCACATATCAGAAGAATTGAGCCAAGTTGTTGCCATTGATTCACAATTCATTTCAACTTAAAGGTATTCTGAGCATATAATGTGGAAGAAAAAGAAAATTCTCTAAACAATAGCAGCAGTACATCTAACTCAGATGTCATTTATAATTGGTTATGTTTGTGAAGAGATAATACCTAGATTAATTTTCCTGGCTCCAATCTCCAAATGCAATTCACTGAAGCTGATTACCCTCTGGAGGACTATTCACTCTAACAATGTACACCTGATAGAAAATATTAGCAGCCACACTATGTCATGATTGATAACCATGGAATAGGAGTACTATATAAACTCAAATTGACGAAAACAGCAATATTGAGATAGCTCAAAAGGGAACAGGTAACAGCAAAGAAAACTAAATAACTATAACATAATGGAGTGTAAGTAGGAAAAACTGCACATTTTTGAAAGATTATCAGTCGCATGACTACTAATTTTCTTTTTTCTTTAACATTGATAAATACTATTCACATAATTAAATATGATGAATGTGTTAAACACTAAGGCATGAATGAGCCAAAAGTTAATAATTAATCACCTTGAATGCAGTGCGCTTAATTAATTGAAAAATTAAAGCATCTCCATCAGCTAGGTTATGAGCAACCGCAAAACCTTTCCATCCACCACTAAGTCCTGTTTTTCGAGGCAAATATATTGTAGGATACTCATTACCATCATCATCAATCAAAGTAATCACTTCATCCCGTTTTGGAAGGTTTTTCTTGCAGAACCAGACTGGAAGGCCCTGTTGTCAAGGATTGCCACAATGATTAACCCATTATAAATTGCAGGTATAAACAAAATACACTTAATTGATTCACTTCTGCAGTATTGAGGAAACATTTGCAGCTAAGCCAAATGGTTTTGGTGTTAAAAAGGCATCAATTTTTGTTAGGAATATTAGATCCTTTTTTAAAATTTCTTTGATAAATACTTATAATTATGAAAAAATTTACAAACAAATTATGCATAAAATTTATCATTGTTTAACCTAATATGACTGTGTTTACGTATAATAAAACTTCTAAAGATATAAAGTAGATATCCTCTTCTCTTGCAACTTTTGACAGAAAAATTGCAAACCTTCCACCAATATTACTCAAGAGCTCATGATAAAATCAAATCGAACAATTTTCACCTTAATCTAAACTCCATCCTCAACAAGAAATCCTCCTCAAGAATTTGGATGGAACCCAACAATTTTAATTGAAATATGCATTAATAGTTGCCTTTGATCGGGCAGAGACAAAGTCCTTCCATTGAGCTTAAGTAAATAGACTGAATTTTAAGTAAATAGACTGAAGTCAAGCTACCCAACCACAGTCTTCCCCTTCCACCATGAAATCAAACCCAAAAACTTCAATGAAAAAGCAAAAACAACTACGATTAATTCAAGTTACATTTATTTCTGAAAAGATGTCTTTAACCAGGCAGAGTCCCGCCAAAGAGTAAAAGGGCATAGCTTTAAGTTAATAATAAACACGAAAATAAGCAAAACAAATAATAAATAAGGTGATTCGAACTATCTTGTTATGATGCAGGTGCAAACAATTTCAGAAGAAATAAAAAGTGAGCACAAGAAAACTACGAAAATCTAACACTGACAAGATATGAATGGCCACAGCAGAATATTACCAGCCAGAATCCCCCACTGACGTGGGACTGGAGCATTGTCTTTATAAAGGTTGGATACTTGGATTCTAAATCCGACATTAACTTATCAGCTTTCTCCAAGGCTTCCTCTCTGGCTTCCTGTGAAGCATATACCCGATTCGAATAATCTCTATGCCTATTATAAACTCTACAAACATAACATTTGAAAAAAATAAGTCAAGTATTTTTCCATTAGAAAAGAACGCATATGCAGCCCAAAATGAAAGCATAGGGGACAAAAACCTTCTAGGTATTGCGACGCGTTCAATAGGCACCTGTGGTCAGAAAAAAGAAAAAAATGGAATGAATGAATGAATGAAGAGTTGGTGGTTGGAGGGGGAATAACAATGAAATTGAAAGCTCACTTCTTTGTAAACAGGAGCGGGCATGTTGGCGACACGGCTTGACCTCCTTACGACAACAAGCTGTTTCTGGATGGTGCGAGATTTGACGTGCTTAAGCGGAGAGGGAGACGGAGAAGGAGACTTATGAAGTGCTTGAGAAAGCTGCGGCAGATTCAGGGCCTCCATTCTCTTCCTGTTTTCCTCCAATCTCTTGCGTCGAGATTCCTCATATGACGCCACCATTTTTAGAGAAAAGAAGAGAACTAACAATTCAATGTGAAGAAGAAGAGGAGAAAGCTTTTGTGTTAGTGCTCTCTCTGAAATCAAATCAAGTGAAGAATAGCATTGCTCAGTCGACCGTTGCTTTCCCACTTCCCAATGTCTTCAATCGATGGAGGTAGCTAGGTTATCTTATTTTATTTTTAAGAATTAATAACTAAATTTTGATAATTAAAATAAAATAATATATATATTTTTGAATTTAATTTCTCTCATGTTATAAAGTAAATTATAATATTATCTTTTACACACATAAAAATATGTGAAACTCATTTTTTTTATTCTCTTCCTTTACATGATCTCATATGGACTCCACATATTTTTATATATATGAAAAATAATTTTATCTTCTATAAGATGATCACACTCACTCCCATATTTTTACTACTTTTATTTGAAAATGTTTTAACTAAAAAATAAAATAAAATCATGAAAAAAAAGTATCTAACATTATTTTATATAATTTTATCTAATGTTTATTAAAATAATATTATTTTACGATTGAAAAAATAAAAAAAGTACCTCAATATTAAATATATCATATCATTTTTGCCTAAAAAAAATACCACTTCGATCAATATTAAATAAAATTGTGCGAAGTAACATTAGAATAAAGTTCTCAGGTACCTCAGCTATTTTGAATTCAAATTTTCTAGTTTTTCTACGCCTGTTGGGTCGGGGTCACGTCAAACGTCTCTTCAACAAAGGTAATGTAATCATGTTTGCAATCTCGTAGCATAATCAACGATTTTAGAGCAAACTAGATTAACATATAAAACAGGTGGAGGTTGTATTTATAATTTTTTTTTTTACATACTATATTATCTTCTTTTCAAAAATATTAATTATATTATTTTTTTCGGGAGAACATAGTGCAATTTGCATAAATTTGTAAAAAAAATTTATAAACGGATCATTTTCCTATAAAATATAACTTGTTTAGTTATTCATTTTTATTTATTTACTTTGAAAACTTAATTTTCATAATTTGTTTTTAAAATAAATAAAAAAATACATAGGTATGCTTGATTGTTCTTTCAAAAAATAGTTTTTCTTTTTTAAGAATAAAATAACTTATTTAATAATTGGTGTTCCGTAAAAACTAATTCTTAAAAAATATCTATTTTTAATTTTAGAGTAAAGTATTTTTTAGATTCTCAACAAATATTACGGGCCCAATTTAATCCTTTAAAAAAAGTCAATTCGTAATTCTTCTGAAATTTAAAATAGACTCACGTTAATCTTTTGAGGGACTAATAAGGGTATTATTTGAATTTCAGGGATTATGATTTCGACTAACTCGATCTATTTGAATTTTTGAGATACCACAAGTCGACTTTTTTTTTAAAGAATTAAAATAGATTCAGTAATTTTGGTTGAGAACTCAAAAGATACTTTTACTCTAAAATTAATTCTAATAATATCATATCATTTATTCTGACAAAAATGATTCTCCAAAAAAGGTTATTTAACATAAATTATTTAAGAACTCTTTTCCTAAGTGAGCTAGTTGGCATGTTTTAGTCTTTTATGTTTTATTATGATTTAATATATATATATATATATATATATTTAAAAAACCTAACAACTGATTTAAAAAATTTTAAAATAAGAGAAAAATTATAAAAAATAATTATTACATTTATTAAATTATTAATGAGAGCAAAAAAAATTATTTAAATGTCAATTTATCTATAAAAAAATTACATGGATAACTTTTTAATTTAATAAAATGATATTTTTTAATTATATTAATATATTTTATCTATTAATTGAAAGTATATATATAATATAATGTACAACATAACCTTAGTAATAAAAATAAAATAATTAACAAATAAAGATATTTAAATTTCTTCTTTTTTTGGAAGCATATAAGAGAAAAGGAAACTACCTAGCTACTCTGGGTCTCTCAAAACCCATCATATCCTTAACTAACAGATCATTACAACCATTAGGAGGATATTGGCTTACAAGGATATCACTCTTACCTGATAGAGCTTGGTGCGCCATCCAGTCGGCCACCATGTTACCCTCCCTGAAAGTGTGAATGAGTTGCAGGTTCCAATTCCGCTCAATAAGATCTCTCACTTTAATTCCAATAGGAGCCAGCGAGTGATCACTCCTACAATCTTGCTCTATGAATTCCATCACCTGAGAGGAATCTCCTTCCAAAATGATGCTTCTAAATTCCCAGTCCCAAGCTAATTTCAAACCTGTTAAAATGCTCCATAGCTCAGCTCTAAAGGAATGTCCCTGTCCAAGATTCTTTGAAAAACCCAAGACCCATTCTCCTTTGCAGTCTCTAATCACCCCACCACAGCTAGAATTCCGCCCTCCCAAAGAGCTTGCTCCATCTACGTTCAACTTCAACCACCTAAGAGGAGGAGGGTTCCATTTTATCATTGGCAAGGCTGTTGGATTAACCTTCCTGTTGAAATCGTATTTTTTGCTGTTAAGTAACTTTCATAATAACAAAGGATGATACGAATGCTTCTTTGAGTATCAGGTTGAACTCCATTGAAGACATAATCATTCTTCTCTCTCCATAAAAACCAGAAACAGATACCAAAAAAGAGATCCCAATTTTTTATTATTGAACTAGTATTATCCATTTTAATGTTTTCTTCAATCCAAGCCCTTAATGGCTTAGTGCAAAACAGCGACCAATTAATCGGAAGAACTAGGGCTTTCCAAATTTTTTGGGACCAAATGCAGTCTCTGATCGCATACAAGGAGCTTTCTGGGTGGCTTTGACACCGAGGGCACAGGTTAGATGTTGCAAAGTGTCTGTTGAATCTCCTTTGATTTGTCATCAGATCATCTCCCATCAAGAGCCAAAGGAACGTTTGGGCGCTGCTAGGACCATCCCACTTCCAAATAATTTTCCAGTTGAAACTTGGAACAACTTGAGGGCTTTTTAACCTATTATAAGCTAACTTTACAGTAAAACAACCATAATTTGTGTCAGCCTAATAAACCCGATCATCCCTAGTATCCTGATTTGCTGGCATAATGCTATCTATTAGTTTACCTACTTCATGGTTGATCCAATCCCTCATTTTCTGCCAGTTCCAAGTACCATCATTCTTAACAAATTTTGACATTTTTTCCTGGAGAAGGATCTCTGGAATATCATCAGATATTAGCCGTTGGAGACTTCCCACATTCGAAATCCAGGGGTCTAACCAAAAATAAGTTTTTTCAATATTGCCCACAATGATTTTTGATTATCCTTAACCTCCAGCCAGACTTTAACAACTCCTTTCCAAAGGTTGGAGCCGTTGGAGGAAGCTTTGATTTCAGGAATTAAATCATTTCCCATTTGGTATTTGTTTTTAAGGAATTGAACCCGAAGGGCATCATGTTTTTGTGAGGATGCCAAATCCAATCTTCATAAGGAATGCTCTATTGACATCTCTCATTGATTTAAGGCCCAAACCACCAGCTTCTTTCGGATATCAAACCTTTTTCCAGTTCACATGATGAAGGCTATTTTCTTGCTCCCTGAATTCCACAAGTAACCCCGAGTAGTTTTTTCAATTTCATCACAAGTTCCAAGAGGAAAAAGGTTAGTTTGCATGGCATATATAGGAAGAGCATAGAGCACCGAGTGAGCAAGCACATTTCTGCCAGCCAGAGATAGAGTTCTTTTCTTCCAAGATCCTAACTTCTGGTTCACTCTCTCCATGATGTGGCTGAAGCTACCTTTAGTAGCTCTCTTGTGATGAAAGTTGATACCTAAATATTTCTCCAGGTCACTTGTTAAACCAAACCCCAACTCATTGCTCAGCTCAGCTGCATGGTTGTGATTGACATTCTTCGACATGAACACTCTAGTTTTCTCAACATTGATACTTTGGCCATAGCAGTCACAAAAACAATTAAGAAATTTCTTCATGATTAGAGCTTGCTTCAAAGACGCTTCACCAAATAACAGAAGGTCATCAGCAAAAAATGAGATGAGAGATCGAAGGGTCATTCTTCCTTAGAACCACTGGCTTCCACTCTTTTTGCTCCATCGCCAAGCTGATAAGATGATCAAGCCGCTCTATACAGAGAACAAATAGATAAGGCGATAGAGGATCTCTTTACCTAACTCCTCTAGTTGGTTTGAATTCTCTGGTAGTAGCTCCATTCCACAACACATTCATTGAGCAAGTCGAAACACAACTCATAATAATGTTTATTAGACACACCAGAATTCTCTTCTTCCTTTTGAATACTAGTCTTAATTACCTTTTTGAGACAAGTAGGCTCCCCCGTGTATCCTCACAAGCTTCGTCTCTTTGAGCTGGTGTTGACGAGCTGGGCAAGTGCACCGGTCGTACAAGTAATAAAGTGATAAGAAAGTTGTCGATCCCACGAGGACTGATGACCAATATTTTATTTATTTAACTAAAGTTGGATCGATCATTAAAGGTTTTCTTGAGAATATTGTGATTGAATTAAAAACAGAATTTGTAAACTATTTTTGATTTTTAATATTTTAGAAATTAAATTCAGAATTAATTAAAGCTAAAAAAATTGATTTAAGTTTTCAATAAAAAAAAACGTAGTTAGGATTCAACTTCCCCAATGGTTTCTTAATGAGTTTGCTCATTTTTATGATTACATTCAAGATCGAATTATTAACAGTTCTTTCTATTGTTGACTAAATCTCAATCCCTTGGTAATCTAATCCTTTATTCTAATCCAAAGCCTAATCCCTTAGTACTTTTTCATACAATAAGCATTAACGTAAGAACTCACCGTTATAAAATCTACAAGTTTATCCCTAGATCATGCAAATTCCAGCAATCAACCAATCAGAATCATATACCAGCATCCCTATTGTCATATATGACTTATATGTTTATCTACGAGTGATCAAGTCATAAATAAAACTAATCATATATATCAGATTGATTGCATAATTCAAAAGAAACAATATAATTCATAAGAAATAAACAAACATCAACTAA